AACCTTAAAGTTAAGATACCAAAATTAGCATTTAACCAAAATCATATATCAGCAGTCAACTTCTGTGCATTATTTATTTGTTAAACCACCCACTATTTAATCTTTCATCATCAATTAAGTAAGCTAAAATATATTATTACGATTTGAAGCTGTCCTTATTCCCAACCCAGTTGGGTACATTGAATTTGTAGTTTGCCCTAAACGTGCATCTTACCGTATTGTACTATTGTTAGAATTACAATCAAATATAATGGAACTATTCATGTTCCAATTAATTTTCCCTCTTGATTGAATCCGTCAATAGTCGTACGACGTACACAATTTTTCTTTTTATTTTATTTCATTTTAGTAACTTCTTTGGAAATTTAAACCCCATTTTTATGACTAATTAATGCTTGTAAATTAATTCAAAAAAATATTAATTTAAGGGTAGGGTGAAATATTCAAATTAATTAATGTTTTTAATTTTGTATTAAACTCCCAATATTTTAAATTTACATTAAGTCAAGGCTAATCTAGAATCTAATCTTCATAATATAAAATAGATCATTTTTTTATTAAAAATAACATTACATATTAATATCCCAAAAGCCGTAGTAACTTTGATGGTCAATTCATGAATCATGAACCTACTTAGACGGCGGACAAAAAAAAAATGATTTTTTTTTTTTAATAAATTTACAAGGAGTTGAATTCGAACCGTTATCCTAAAGGAAGACGAATGCACTTATACATGATATAAAGCCACTGAGTCAAAAAACCCAAGTGCAAAAAAGAAATGAACTTAATTATATTATAAAGGAATTTTTTAATTTGCACCTTTAATGTATATATTAAATCTCGTAAAATGTAATATTTATAATTAATTTTATATAAATTTTTATATCAAATTTAATTAAAATAAAATAAAATATTTATATATAAAATTATATAAATTTAATTAAAAAATTATATAAAATTAATTATAAATATTGAATTAATGAATCTTTGAGTACAAGTTAGACAAATCATATTATAAAAGCAAAAATTATAACGTCTTTATATTTAAAATGTCAAAATTATTTATAAAATTATTTAAATATGCTTAATTAATAAATTTTTCTTGTGTTTTGATTTATTACATAATATTTAATTCTTTTTATTAAAAAAATCAAATATTTTAATTATTAAAACATCTTAATTTCTCTTAATCCCTAACCATAGATACTGAAAAGAAATATAGTGGTCAGAGTTTGATTGTGGAGATGATTAATCCTCGTCAGTTGTTATATGCGGTCCAAAGAAGCACACCATCGTTTACAGTCGCACAACTTGCATGCTCCATCATTTAATAGTTTTGTTGAATTTGAATGATCTCTGTATGATCTTCTTGGCTTCTTTCTTCAGGTTAGGGCCAATCAACTTCCAACTTCCAAATTATAGTCAATTAATTAGTGGCTCTTAGATTGCTTGAAATGGTGAGTCCATTGAACGTTAAAGGAGGCACCCCCCCCACGGCCCACTTCTTCAAAGCCGGCATCGCTGACCACCGACTGTAATTTGCACCAAAAACTACCAAGAAAAAACAAACTTGAGACTGTCTCAAAGTCAAATCTCGATAATCTCCACTTTTTCTATTTGTATATATACAACTACTCTTATCTAATCTTCCATCATGCAACTAGGGCAAAGAGATTAATTAATTTCCGAAATGGGCAACACAGTTTCTCCATGTTTACAGCACAATTCTAGATCTTCATCATCAACCAAGCTTATCTTCTGGGAAGGGTCGACGAGAATCCTAAATGGGAAGCACATAGCGGGTGAGATCATGTTCGAGTTCCCTGATAGGATGGTGTGTCATTCAGACTCATTCTTCATCGGCCATCCCATCCCAGCCCTAGCCATAGATGACGAACTCATGCCGGGTCAAACCTACTTCGTCCTTCCCATTGATCGCTTTGCATGCAACGTATTGACAGCGTCTTCCATCGCCTCCTTCAGCTCCAGCGCTAAACCCGCACCTTTGAACTTTGGCGACTGCCCTTTTGAGTACATTAAAAGGGAGAACGGTAGGGTTTTGATGAAGGTGATGCCGGAGTTTATAACGAGGCTAATTACAAGTAGAGGAGAGGAAGAAGGCGGCAGCCGTTTGGATGGCAATAGTTTTCTTTGTAATACGCCGGAGCTGAAGAAGCGTTACGAGCAGTTGGTAGGGTCTAAAGTGCAAGTTTGGTCGCCGAATCTGGAGACCATTTCAGAGCAAAAAGTTAGGTTTTCGCCTTGCAGGTTCTTAGGGTTGGAGTGGAAACAGAAAAAGAAAGATAGATATTAGCTTAATTCTCCAATTATGTTACATCTGCTTGTGACTTAGAAGAAATTGTACAAAAGAAAAAAGTATGTTAGTGAATTTAATTATTTATAGATCCATTGCTAAGAGAAGTATTGATTAGATATCCAAAAGAGAAAAAGGAAGAGGAAGAAAAGGAATTGATTGATTGAAAAACTATTGTGCAAATTACACCAAATTGCACAAAAGTGATTTTTGAATGATACATAGGAAATTGTTGTCCGATTACATTAGATTATACAATAGTGATTGCTAGATAAGAGATTGATCTCTTAATATTTGGATCTCTCTACAATTTAACTATTTTTATTTTGTAATTCTGATTATAAAACACAAGCCTATTAATTAATTATTTATAAAGTTTTATTTGAAAAAAGTATGTGCTTACACCACATTTGGCCACTTGAAAGTTTTCTAGACTAAGCAATATTCTATGGTTAGCATATGATCTTGATTCTCTCCCCATCTTCCACAATTGCACATAATGCCAAAAACTTGAGGAAGAATATTGGCCTAGGTAGAAGCTAAAGTTTTTTACCTCAAACTTCTGATTTGTGGCAGACAAAAGGTGCTGGTAGAAATGAAGATCCGAAGGAATTAAGCAACTTCTTGATACACTAAATCGCCTGCTAAAGTAATTGGAGCCAAAAAAATGTAGCAGCTGAAGCTCTTACCAAGAAGAACCAAGATATCCCAAGAGAAATCACTAATATGCAGCGCCGAATGTCAAGGCAAAAGGTGTTACCTTGGTAGAACTCTGTTGGGAAGTTCTATATGCCCACAAGGTGTCTGACAAAAGTTCATGCAGTCATTTCTACAAATACTTTTAATTTTCATTTCTAGTTAAATTTTAAGATTTTTAATACTCTTTAGTTTAATGTCCTTCTATTATTTTAATTTTAGATCATTATTTATTTATGTCATACACTCTTTTTCTCCTTTTTTTATTGTTGCGTATTTTGATTAACAAGGTAACTTCATTGTAACTCTAAATGTGGAAAGTTCTTAATATTTTTTTAAGGTGACTATTTTTGAATTTTCATGCATGAATGCACAGCTATATCTATGACAATTATCTAATCAAGGTATTATTCACACATTCAATCAAATGGTATTCTTTCATCGAACTTTTAAATAAGTTTCTATACTTGAATGAAATGAGGATCACCAAAAAAAATTTTTTTTTCTTGCTTTGATACACTTGAACATGAGCAGCCAAAAGGAATGAATTTTGGAGAAAACAGTCTGGGTACGATACTATATTATTATTGGCCCGTAGAAACCCAACTCTTGCAGCCCATCATGATTCTATGGGGTCTGACAGCCACGGGCTGGGGCTGGTCTGGTTACGCAACCTTCCTGTGATTGACCCATTAAGGTATGCATGTTGGACTAAGGATGTCTAACAGTCGAAGTACAAATGACTTAACCCAAAACAAATTTCCATATGTTGGCCCATAAAGATTTCAAAAATTGAAAAAGATACAAATAATTTGATTAGTTAAGCTCCTTTCTTTGCTTGATCTTTGAAATTTGGATCCTCATCCATCCCCTCTCACCAGCCTTTTGAACCCAAGACCCCAAGGCCAAGAAACCAAATTCTTAGCCAACGGGACCCTGAGAAGGCTGGTAGTTAAGCTCCTTTCTTAATGACTAAAATAATCCAATCAAATTATATTTGTGATGAATGTCTAATATTAAATTCCTAACCCAAATGCTACAAGAATTTTTTTTTTTTTTTTATAAAGGTAATAGTTTGTAAGTTAGTATTGTTAAGTATTAGCAACTAAAAATTTGATTTTCAAATCAGATAAATAGCTCACCGATCTCAATAAAGCACGCGACCATTGAATCGCTTGGTGGAGTTCCCAAATGCTGGAATATATATATATTTTTTTATAAGCCAAAAATTTTATTATTATGGTACAAGGAGTACCCAAACCCATATACATTCATAGCACCACTAACATTACCTATCTCAACATTAAATTGTCATACTTCCAATTTACCATTCCAGTTCAAAGTTGGAAAAATAACCTCATTCTTAGAGCAAGTCTCGGATTGGATTTCCAGAGATCCAATGACAGTTCAGGTTGTAGCATTGCCCTTATCCAATAAAATGCTATATATTTTATCAGCTCTAGCATTTCCTCCAGGCTGTCATGATTACTCTTGAAAATTACTTGATTCCTTTGCAACCATATTGACCAAAGTGCAGCAAACCAGATCACCGCCCATGCCTGATTAATATTTTTGCTGTCAATTAGTCCTGTATGTTGCTTAAAATGTGCAGTAGTGTCCACATTTATGGCAGTCGAAATGCCCCACCAAGAATAACAGGACGTCCACACTTTCCATGATAGAGGGCATTCAAACATCAAGTGGTTGATCGTTTCCTCCTTTTCTGAACAGTTACTACATTGAATTCCTCCACCATCTGTAATCACACCCCTCCTAGCCAGATTACTCTTTGTTGGGAGTCTGTCATGAAGTGCTCTCCATGCCAAAGCTGAAACCTTCAATGGAACATGAGGGTTCCACACTTGGATAAAAGGTGCCTGTAGAGATTGAACTTGTTGAGCAGGTAACAATTGTCGATATGCTGACCTCACGGTGTATTGTCCACTGTTGTCCCATTTCCATATCCATACATCTTCTGTTCCTCAGTTGATGCTCACCAGTTGAATGGTATCTTCCAATTCCTGTAACAAATAAAGTTCCCAAGTAAACAAATCCCTTCTCCAATTCCACTTCCACACCCACACTCCCTCACACCATTCCCCTAATTCTGCTACTTTCACATTTTTATTTGTTGTAATGGAATACAATCTTGAAAAATTTTCTTTTAAATTCACATCCCCTACCCACATGTCATCCCAAAAGAAAGTGTCCTTGCCCTCACTTACCCTTTTCACAAAACCTTCCCTTAACCACCTGTTAGGAGAAACAAGTTCACTCTCTAATTTCCATAACTCTTTCCACCATACTGAACCTTTCTCATTTTGCACACACCCTCCCCACCCCCTACCACCATCAATCCCGTACAATTCATATATGACTCTCCTCCACAGTACCTCCTTTTCCCTTAACACTCTCCACTTCCATTTTCCAAGGAGGGCCTTATTAAAGCTTTCAACATTTCTAACGCCTAACCCACCCTCCTCTCTATATTTGCATATCACATCCCACTTAATCCACGCTATATTCCTACCACCCTCTCCCCTACCCCAAAGAAAATTACATTGTAGTTTGGTGAGAAGGTTTGGTACCTGTTTTGGAGCCTTATACACAGAGAAGAAATATACGAGTAGGCAGGATAACACAGCCTTGAGAAGAACAATTCTCCCCCCAAATGATAGTGAAACCCCACTCCATCTATTCAGCCTCCTTTTCAAACACTCAATTACTGGAGCCCAAGTAGAAATTCTATTTGTGTTTGCTCCCACTGGAACCCCTAAATACTTGAAGGGGATATTGCTAACTGAACAGTTCATTATGGTTGCCATGTCTTCCAATCTTTCACTGTCTACATTCAGCCCACACAGCCAACTTTCGTCATAATTAACCTTTAACCCAGAAATCATCTCGAAACTCCCCATCACACATTTCATTGCCCATGCATTAGCTTCACTCGCTTCACTAAATAAGATTGTATCGTCAGCAAATTGTAAATGAGTGAGCCTCAAATTGCCTCTGCCTACTTGGATACCTTTTAGGAGTCCAATTTCTTCTGCCTTCCGAATCAGGCCACTAAGAGCTTCTGCCACCACAAGGAACAGAAATGGGGAGAGTGGATCCCCTTGACGAAGCCCCTTTCCTGCATTGAACTCCTCCGTTGGACTGCCATTTACAAGTACTGAAATTGATGCTGTGGAAAGACATTCCTTCATCCAACTCCTCCATTTCAAATTGAATCCAAGTTTGGACAGCATGTAGTCCAAAAATTCCCAATCCACATTGTCGTATGCTTTCTCAAAGTCAGCTTTAAAGATTAGTCCCTCTTTTTTCCTCCTTTTAAGGTCGTGAATCACCTCATTTGTTATGACAATACCATCCATTATTTGTCTGCCACCAATAAAAGCTGTTTGATTTTCAGAAATAATGATGCCCATCACCTTCCTTAATCTGTTAGCTAATAATTTTGACAGGATTTTATACATGCAGCCAATGAGTAAGATAGGTCTATAATCATTCAATCCCTGTGGGTTTTCTTTCTTCAGAATTAACACAATGAAAGAAGCATTACACCCTCTTACCAGCTTTCCATTCTCCTGAAAGTCTCTGATAAATTCACAAACCTCTCCCTTAATAATGTCCCAAATGCTGGAAGATAGAGATAGTCTTTTTCTGTTCAAAATTTTTGTTTTGTTTTAAATTTCGAATTTAAAACTTTTAATTGAAGATTTGAAGATGAAAGTACTAGTACTATAATTTGAAACTTCGAGGGGTGATTAATTGTTGAGACAGAAAAGGAAAAGTGACTAGCTATAACTTAGGTTTGCAGAAAGTGTTTTTCTTTTTGAAATCCTTGGGTGGGGGTGGGGCCTTCTTTTTCATCTGAGTTTGCCAATCACTTTCATCAACTGTTAAAAGGCATACAATAATGGAAGGACAGACAGACTATTCTCATTTCATTTATCTTAGTAGGGGACCATTGTGTATGCCTCACAAAACCAGAATTTCTTTACCGACGAATTGGAAATTTTGGTCGCTATTATCTGGACTAAATTTACATCCAGCCCAGCACAATTCAAGGCCCAAAGCCGTCAACCTTTGTACTTTGGATCAAATATTTTGTACTGCTAGTAAAAAGTTAAAATTGGATCAAGTCTTCGCCCTTTTTGGGTGTCCCTATATCCTCATCCCATGCCTTAAATGTTCCCAAATTCTTTCAAGGACCCCCCGGAAGCACCTAGCCATTCTGGCTGGTTTGGGGCGCTCTCTTTATTTTGTTGTTAATCATTTTTTTTTACGAGAAAAGTGTTAAGTGAAAAAATTTTATGTAAATATAAAAATAAAAAATTTAGGAATTAAATATAAAAAAATTACTTTATTTATAATAATTAATTTTAAATTAGATGTAAATTTTATGTTAAGTTTATATGTATAATTTTTATATGATATTAGAATTTAAATTTTGTTATAAAAAATTCATTGTTAACTTATTTCATAAGATTCAAAATTAAAAGTATCATACCTACATTTAAAGATGTAATGTTAACACATATAACAAGACTTAATATTTATAATAGGACTACACGTAAATGAACGTGCTAAATAAGAAAATCCAACGTCGAGGAAAATTGACTCTAATGACTTGTGCAGTTGTTTTGAATTAAAATTTGAAACAATTTAATGTCTACACCAGGACTAAATGTAATTTTTTAAACTAAAATAGTCTTCAAAATTTTTTAAAAAACTGTTTTCAGCTTTTAATAAAAACTTTAAATTTCCTGTTTTAGAAGTAGTAGATTCTTAGATGCTAATATATTAAATTTGATCATTTTTATTAATTTTTAATTTTTAAAAGTAAATTTACATATATGTATATAATTTATGATTCAACACTTTTCCCACCCAAACAAAATAAATATGCTACTTCTGCTAGGCTGAACAAATTAAGTTCTATCTCTATCCAAACCCAACTTACTGTAGTATAGAATCTAGAAGTGAAGCCCAGTAGGTTCAGACTTCAGTGGGCCAGATTTTAGGGCATGTGACTCTCCCAAGGGGCAGAGGTGGAAGGTAGAAAACGACCTTACCTTCTCTGGGTAACACAGAAGCTTTCCCAAAATCTCAGTCAAAATGCATTGGCTGTTGCCTGTTGCAGTTGCAGTGTTGAGTTGCTTTCCAGAAAGTCTGTCTTACGCGGCAAAACCCCATTTTGCTCCTTCAGTGTAGAACTGGAAAGCAGAGGAAACAAAATTTTTAAACATTTTAGCATAGGCTAAAGTCCTTATTTGTACCATCCATTTATTTATTTTTTGTAGTCAACACCTTCCAGAATTTTTCCTCCATATTCACACCCTCCAATTTTCAAAACCCGTGAATAACCCAATATTTTAACGGGTCGTCACGGCACCGTTAATAACCATTAAAAATTGTAATACGTGACATTAAACAGTAACATAATCCAATGTGGACTTCTTTTTTGATGATATGGCATAATTAAACCATAATTAATTTTAATTTTTTCATTTTCTTTTTTTCCGCATCATCTTTACCATCTTCCTCTTCATCCTCCTCGGTTTCTCATGGAACCAGGAACCCAAAACTTTATGTCACATTTATTAATCCAATGTTGAACTTTTTTTTTATATGTGTTATAATTAAATCATCATTAATTTTAATTTCTTCATTTTCTTCTTTCCCGGCATCATCTTCACCATCCTCGTCCTCATCCCCCTAGGTTCCTTGCAAAACCCAGGTTCTGAGTTCTTCGTGGAACTTAATAATCTGCACAAAAACATGATAAGCATCTGCTACTCCTTTCTCACAAAAAACGAAAAAAACTCAAATTGGTAACCTATTCAGAAACAATCTCCAAGCAAAAAACTCACCTTTCCAACAAAAAAAATTGGCAACCTATTCAGAAACAATCTCCAAGCAAAAAA